TAAAAAATCTTCATAAGAAACGAAAAATTGGTCTTTTCACTAACTAACCAAAAGGTATCACAAATCACGCACAGTTTAAACAATGAACGTGAATACTAAATGACAAAAAAATTTAAAAAAATTGGCAAACCTATATTTTCTAGTGTCAAAAAATAAGAGAAAAGTTGTGGTAAAGCTGTCAATCAAATTATTTAATCAGCCTCATCAAGTAAATTAAAATGGAACCTTATAAGCAAAGTTAGAAACAGCAAATAAATCTGATACTATTTTGATTAAGGTTTCGTCTGGCAATTTTTAATTGATAGGAAACAAATAGTACGTTTTCTAATCTAAAATTCGGTAATTCAGGCGAGTCTTTTGGAACTTATTTCCTCAAATTTTTGTACAGCCAAAACATCTTATCAGCAGGGGATCTTTCTTTTTTAGGTTTTTACTAGACATGAAGTACTTAAACTATTTTTTTGTGCTTTGAGAGTCCATATTCCCTTGGTTCTTCTAAAATACTAGCATGGGCTTTAAATGATGCGGCCAATGAAATAGCTTCTCCAGTAACCGAAACAATTCATGAACTTCTGGCTCTCGAAACTTATCCGGATAGATTTAATTTAGTTATATAATATCTTTGTTCAAAACCAGCGATAAAAAACGATGCTAAAGCGATGCAACATACTACAGACAATTATCTATTAATCCCGCACAGACAAGTTTTCTTGAAAAAAGGTTTTCAACAACAATTATTCGAAAACCTAGATAGATTTCATTTGATGAGTAAACATCAATTTGGCTCTGAAAACATTTTTCTAACACAGAAGCCTTAAGGTTTTTATAAGAAACAACCAGAACAGAAGTCGATCATAAGACTCTCGTTGCAGGTGCACTCCTTGAATTATCTAAAGCTTTCGACTCGAATGATCACAATTTATGCTAGAAAAGTTGGATTACTTAGACTTTGGTTCACATATCTTACGCCTCATTAGAAGTTATGAGACAAACAGACACCCAAAGTGGTCTTAAATGGAACAAAATCAGATGGGCTCACAGTCGTAAGAAGAGTTCCTCAAATTAATTTCCTAGGATCCCTTTTGGTTACTTTAAATGTAAATGATATGTTCAAAACGATAAACTGTGATATCAAGAAACATGGAGCTGATATAAAGTTGTTGAGTAATGGTCAGAAAAAAAGCCAAAGGAAAGAGAGTCTGAAAAATATCACTAGCTTGTTGAATTGTTTTAATCAACACTCCTTGAAAATCAATCAGGAAAAAACTGAGTTTATTGTTTTCTAGAATAATTGAAACAAAGGAGCAATTTAAAATGGTTATAAAATAACAAGCGAGGTCAATGAAGTTAATCATTGAGGGCTCCTTTAAAAAATCTTACCACAATCAAGTAAAAAGAATTTAGAAAAAAAACACAGGAGAGCAAAACCATCTACACTCTCTATCATCCACTAGAACCATCTATCATCCAAATTAAACATAATGCTTTAACTGTATTTTTTTCAGGCATTTAAAATTTTCGCCATGTAAAATTTTTGTGATTTTGAATACGATATCACAACATTCAATCGTTCATTGAAAAACATTCAGCTGGACCGCTAAAGCCTGCTACGGTGTCTCCAGATTTTAATCTTTGTCAGAAATAAGACTCGAAAATAAATTTTACCTGTTTGGTTTTTGCTGGATTACAGATCATCATATAAATTCGCCAATTTCTAAAGTTTTTCTGCTTTTCTGGTTAGTAAAAGAGGGCTAAAAGCAATGGTTACCAAATTGTTTTGAAAGATTAAAAAATTATTCACACCGTCTTCTGCAAACGCCAATACGCAAAAAAGTATATTTAGAAAAAGCAATTATTATTGCATTTTGATCACTAATTAATTAAGCAATTTCTTGCAAATGTGAATTCTTCCACATTAAAAAAAAACTTATTTTTCTCTGAATCAAATTAAGAAGGACCCAAGCCAAGTGTTGTACAGAAAAATATCAGGGAAAGCCTTTAGGCTCTTCTAAAGCATGCCTTTGTGCAATAAATATAATTTTTGTCTCTGTCAAAAGTTGTAACATTCGCCAGGAAGATACATATCGACGGAAGACAAAACTAAGTCTTAAGACGACTGGCTAACGTCTAAACAGAGCTTTGCATGCTTTTCACCGTCTCTACCAAGCCAGTACTTTTCGGTGGTCTTTCTAACATCGGGTCGACAAAAACGTTACTGCTTTCGGCTTCGGTCAAAACACTCAAATTAACTAGATTACATGCAGAAACAGTGAGCTCATGGCTGGGTCTCAGTATCCCCAGACCACGAGGTCACTCCTAAAAACAGGGCTACTACTTATTATATTACTATTGTTTTTGTTCAGTAGATAAAAATCATCATCTCCAACGAAGATGGATCAACCCTTTCCCCCAACTCCTAGCTTCTCATCTTTATCAAAAAATGAATCCAGATATCAATTAAATTCAAGTCAGGACATGACAGGAGGCTAAAAGTTTACGTAACAGGATAAAAGTTTCAGTTCCTTTATCCTTCCGGATTGATGAATCCGCTGGATCAAGCTCGTTAATCCTGATTTCCCCTTAATCCGGAAGGCCGTCTTTCACCCTTCACCGTTGTCTGCAACGGCCCTGCAACTATTGTAGCAGTACAATAGTTGCAACTCGGAGTGTTCTCTGTTACTCTGTAACTCGCTGTCGTTTTTCAATCTCAATTCCGTAGTTGTTGTTAGCGCAGCTAATGTTGTTCTGTGTGTTTTTCTTTTACTTCTTTGCCAAAATGGCCGTTTCTGACGTTTCTCAGAAATGTTACGTCATCACTTCGAATTTTTAAAATTTTAAAATACCAGAATATTCTAGCCCTCACCGTTTGGCCAATCGTTCCAATAACGTTCTTAATTCTTAATAATCATCAATCCGGAAGGCTCGCTGCTAAAAATTCGAATTCTGCAGAGATTGCATTTTTCACATTCTGGTCGAATGTCACAAGTTTCTCAGTTTCTGGAATGCCTGTTTATTTTGATTAATATTTGCTAAATTAAATCAAATTTCAGGAAATTCAGTGTTTAATTTTTAAATAATTCTGGCTTTTGAGCGGACAGAACACCCTTGGTTTTATTGTTAATGGCTTATAATGTCATTAAAAAAATTAAATCTGACAAAAATTTATTGGACTTAATTTTGATGTCAGTATTTGTTTGAGCTTTGTCGAATACTTTTAAGTTCAGGTCACTAGTTTTTTTTAAAAAGCGGCTCTTTTTTGTAATGACGCCTATGGGAATTCAGAATATTTAATTGCCTAATTACATTCCAGAATCATGAGTATTAATTTTGGTTGATCAGTTGTGAATGAAAGTTAAGAAAAAACCTTTGCGCACTGAACCATGGTTTTGAAAATTCACAAGACTGAAATAATAACAAGATCTTTCTTATCAAAAAAATGTCCAGTTTAACTATGAGGCCATAGTTATCATTCGAAAAACCAAATTTCTCAAATTTTGTACTTTAGATAACTATCCAGTAAACCCGTAAATTTACTCCCGTACTTTTTCGGTACAACTTTTAGCATTAATTTTTAGCTCCATATTTGAATTTTTATTTAGAAAATTTTTAAACATTTTATAAGCATCGCGATATCTTAAAAACTAGAAGAATTTGGAAGGTCATACATGAAGCTGAAATTGCAACTACCTACCTTAACTTGATTAAACCCGACAATGAAGATAATAAAATACTAATTCTTATTTAATTCTTTTCCTTCATTCTACATGTTTTACAGCTATTTTTTTTAAAACAATTGTTGCATCTTTTTTGTTTCAAAAAATCCCAATTACTTAAAAACTGGAAACTGGAAAATTCGGGTTTTCAATTTTTGAAGTATAATTTACGCTTAAATGCAAGAAGTTTGGGCTCTTTTCCAGTTTCCCACTCCTTGTAAAATTACAAAACAAAGCTGTTCATAGATTGTTCACACTGCAATTTGCATGTTAGAAAGGTCGTAGAAATTTGTTCACCTGTTCACGCTGACACGTTTTAATGCAGTTTATAACTTTCATTTTAAATAGACTTTCATTTAATGGATTTCAAAAAAATTAAAGGGGGGGGGGGGGGAAACTGGAAAAGAGCCGAAGTTTGCTAATAGTCTGCGAAGAAAAAAATCTCAAAATTTAAAATCCAAAAGAATTTTTTTTCTAATTTTTCAAAACTTTTAAAATTTTGATCAAAAAAATTGTGCTATCTCGATATTTAGAAGGAATTGGAGAGTCATATTTTCATGCTGGAACCGCAAATCAAATTACGTTTCCTGACATACCAAACCAATTGTTTTATAAGGCAAAACAGTATATTATTGAACGATGAAGTTGGTTGGTTCTGAGCTTCCCAGTATATACGTATCCCTAACTCTGTGCACAAAATTGCATTCTTTCTTCGTACTTAAGATTTTCTGGCAATATCTTTGTTTTCACTCATGACAATCAAGAGCCGAGAACGTCTGATCTGTATATAGGCTCTTTGAACAATATTTCACAAAACGTTTTGTTGTAAAAAGGCAGGCAACGACCTCTTGGTGTTATATGTAAAAACTTTAGCAACGAAAAATGGTTAAAAAATCAAAAATTTAGAGAGAAGTTTATCATTAAATGATCACAGACAGAAATTGAGAAGATCATGAACATAAAGCTAGTAAACGGAACAATTTTGTTCTGCTGAACATCCACAACTGTCCTATTTTTACTTCAAAAAATGTCATTTTGATAAATTTTTCTGCAATAGAAAAAATAAATTGAGATAAGAAAAACGGGTGCAGCCATATACCAGGAGGCCATTTTGAATTATTGGCTTACTAATATTGTAAGACTTAATCATCACCCCTCTGGGTACATAATGTCTCGTTTTGGAAATCACTCCATAAGGGCGTTACATGAAAATAGTTTTGCTTGTTCTGGGACTGCAGTTAAAACATTAAAATTTTTCACATCAAGATTTAAAGTTATTTGTTGCAGGTGTCCAAAGTATCAGTTTGCAATGACGCATATGTGGACTTTGTGAGCAGGAGTAGACTGGACAAGCCTCAGGACTTCCTGGCGACTGACAGCTTCCTAGTGGCAATGGCACTGCACGACCACGAGATAGAGGACGGACTGTTCGACTACATGTGTCTGCTCAGCAACCATCACTACGAATTCCAAGATCCAGGTTTCAAAAATCGAGGCATTGTTTCCTTAAAATTCACTAACATCCCCCATTAACACTTAGCAGAAAAAAAGTTTTTTTTTGTGTGTGTGTGTGGGCGTGTTTAAAGTAATGCCCCATTACACACCTTTACGCAGACACACTTACGCACATTCACTGACATTTTGCATAAAAAATAAGTTTTTTTGGCGTTATGTAACTTTTTGCTTTTCAAATTTTTGCATGAGAAATTCGTGTGTTTTAAAATGATGATTTTTGTCCGAATCTCGAAACGAAAAATTTATGCTTGGGGGTGGTTTTTTATTCAGTCGAATTCCGACGATCGAAAAAGCAGATTTTACCTAAAAAGATTTCTATCCCATTGAATATATCGACTTCCTGATTTCAACAGTAAAACATAACGAGACTGCTCGTATCAGGGCGAAACCCTGAATGTTCCGACTGCCTTTTATGGTTTATGGAGCAGTAATAACATTAAAAAAATTAAATTAAATTTTTTTTTTAAATGGAATTTTTTTTTGAAAATCATCCCCCCACACGCCATATGAAATACAAAAAGATAAATTTCGCTCTTTGTAATAAATCAATTATGGCAAATAAGCTTCGTTCAACCAATTTCGAACAATTTTTAAGACGGATTAAATCTCCGCCTACGCGTTAATAGCGCGAATTATATCGCGCTTTAATTGTCCCAAAATGGCCAAAATGGCAATCTTTAAACCCTCATAATTTTACGAAAAATGATCACAGGTAAAATGTCTTTTCAAATTCAAGCTTAGGACAACAATATCTTTCGAATGATATAAAAAAATTCCGACAAAAATGGCTAGTTAAAAAGTCGAAATTTGTCTGAAGAAAAAAAACCCACCCGAGCACAAATATTCCGTTACTTTCGTATCGAAAGTCGGAACAATTAAACTTCGATTTTTTGATAAATTTCTGGTGGTTTGAAAGTTGTCGAATTGGCCTTGAGTTGAAGCAATTTAAACGCTATGTGAAAAATTTTTGTGGAGCTTTAAGCGTAACGCGAGCTATTTGTACGTGGCGAATTATGCCACATTACGAATTTGTTCCGATTTGAATTGAGGCAAGCTATTGTCGTATTAATTTCGCGCTTCTCAAGTTTTCACTCCTTGTGTTTGATATTGCCCGAAGTTAATTGTTTTCTGATATTTTCTCTACCAGAAACTATTCAATAACAACAAAGAGGCATTCGGTTCATGCAAATCTTTGCCGTGATAAATACGAGCTTCTTCCAGCTTTGGAAGAAAATGAGGAAACCATATGCTTGTGGTGGTATTTTTATAATCAGACCAATTTTACAAAGAACGTTAACAACGTATGGGTATCGTGACAAACTTTCTATACTCATAATTGTTTCAAATTGAATTGACGCCAACTAAAAGGTCATATTAGTTTGATCAGTTTACATTTCATATATGAATATATTTAAACAAAAATTATTCGAGACCAGTTGAGAGGCAAGGCAGTCCAGGAATTTCTCAAGGGAGAGCGAATTTCATTTTTTTGATATTATTTCTCGACTTTTTTAGGTCGACCAAATTGATATTTGGAGTGCTCCCAGAACACTATAAAGACCCTATTTTGACCCTTTCTCTGCGCCGCGGGAATTTTTTTGAATAAAAATTTGTCATAAGTGCCGTTCTTGTGCATTTTTTGGAAAAATTTTGACCAAAAAATTAAGTTTTTTTTTCGCGCGCTCTCCTAAAAAATTAGTACATTTTAGAGCATGAGGCGCCTTCAGAAAACTTAAGAGTTGCTCGACCGAAAATGGATAATAAAATAATACCAAAGGGGGAAACCTTTTGGTTGGTGAGGGGGTCGAAAACCTGAGGAGGGCATCCATCACCCTATATCCGCTCTTGCGAGAGATATGAATTTTCATTCATATAAATTGGACAAACGTTGCTTATTTTAACATAATTTGTACGTACTAAAAATCGCATGTAGGTAGAAAAAGTTAAAATACGCTCAAATATTTATAGCCAGCTAAAAACAACTTAACTCGCAAAAACGTTTTGTTCAGCAAGAAGCGGCTGATATTTTCATTAAAATTTGTCATAAGATGGGAAAATTGAAAAAAAAAATTGGTTTAATTTTTTGAAACCTATAAATTAAACCGAAGCGTATATTTTGGTTCCAATTTTTTGATTTTAGTACAAGACTTTGAAAAATCTGTTTTGAACTTTATAGTGTTGCAGCTGTTGTATTGGTTTTTATTATCCAATAAAAATTATTAAATCATGCATTTGGTTTCTTTCAAACAAACAATTATAACAGTAGTATTTTTTATCTCTTGAATTTTCTTCTCTCCTTTTCAGAGGTATTTGACTACGACTACGAGGACGTCTGTGGGTTCTACCTGGAGGCACCCGACTTCGTGGGAGACACACAATGGAGTGTGGATGTGAAACTGAAGCCGGGGTTCAACCCTGTAAATGACGCATACCTCCAGCAGTGGAACAGCCAGTTGCTTCAACGAGACCAGGTCACCCTGCACCACGATGACGTCATCACCAGGTTTACATCTTTTGTCATCATTTGAGTTTTCTCCTGACATTTTCCCCTAAGGCTTACTTTGAGGCGCTCTCGAGGTGTACTTGAAGGTGTGATAATGTTATGCTATGAGTAGGTAAGAACAAAGGAGAATAATTGAAACATTTAATTTAGACTTCTGATTTACTTGGTTTTGTTAGAGATCCAGTTCATGTGTCTCCTAAGATCGCAACCGTCCAAATGACTGTTACGTTTGGCCTGCATGGATGGCCTTGAATAATACTAACAATACATAACAGAATTTTAATAACACTTTCTCCAAGGTTACTGTGGCAACAGTACTACACGGTACCACATTCCCCTGAGGACAACAAAATTTTATATAATACCCTTATAAAATTTTATAAATAGTATATAAGTCTCAGTTTACTGAATTGTTTTCATTTTAGCTTAGTTTTCCTTGGTTGTTTTCTTCATCACTTCCGCTTTGTTTCTTGCAGCGTTCCATGATCCCGACTCATCCAACGATGTAGCTCCGAATTTCCTTTTGAACAGATGTCTCTCTAGTAGGTCAAACGTGTTGTTCTCCAATGTTGTTTCTTTGTTATTGATGTTTAACTTCGCCAATCTCAATCTGTAGGCCTCAAGTGCTGCCAAATTTAGCTCTGTCATATCGTCCTCACAACTAATCAACTTTACAGAGTGTGATACTGGGCTGCCGTATCTCTTTGGTCCCTGGTTCTTTGTTTGTCGACTAACTTCGTCTAACTGTCGTTGTATCCCGTTCTTTGTCCGACTCGTCCGCAAATACTGCCGGGCTAATGTCGACTGATTCCGCTTGTTGAGTCAGTAGTTTTTCTGCTTCGTTTTGTACCCCTCGGGTCAAAACTTGGTTTGTGATTTCTTCCCATTCTTTTGTTGTCATATTGTTATTCCGGAAAGTTTCCAGAATTTCCTTTTCGCTAGTTTGCCGTGTGATCCTTTTACTCACTGGAGCTTCTTTCGGTGCAGACGACTCTATGTAGACGGCTTCATTGCTCGTATCCCGCTTCTTTGATTCTTTTGCTGTTTTGACAGCTTTCGTTGTACGTGGCTCTTGCGTTTTGGCCTTTGCAGCTCTTGCATTTTGGACTAGTGGTCCTGCTCTATTTGGCTTAACCCTTTTTTCTCCTAGATTTAGCCCCCCGCCCGTCTTTGTTTCTTTCGACGTAACTACGTTTGGCGAGTTTTGAAACTTGTCCATTACTCGATTGTCTTCTATTTCCTGATCGGTTGGCCCCTGGTCTTTCGCATTATGTTCTTCAGCCGACTCACTGTCTACGTCTTCATGATGTGATACTGTCTTCTGTTGTTTGCTCCTAGGTTCTTCCCCCGTTGGGCTCCTCCTCCTCCTTTTCTCCGAACTCTGTGCTTTTGGCTGTGTTTGCAGTTTTGATCTCGCTATATCACTCTTTCGATATACTGCACCAGCAGCCGTTTTGATTGTTGATGGTGTCTCTGCCACTATTTTGCCTTTCAGCGGTATTGTTAGGGCCTTTCCACTTTTCCTTTTGCTCATGTTTGCGGAGGAAGCTTCCTGACCAGCTATCATTCGATGTAGTCTGTTTGTCTTTGATAAATCCTCTTTCCCATGAGTATAGGAATTACTTTCTCAGTTCGGAATTTCTTGTGCTCGTTTCGTCTACAATTCGTCGTAGCTCGCTATCTGAGATATCCCGTCTGGTGACATTCCATCTCGCATTGGCCTCTAGTAGCTGCTTTAGTTCCTTTGCCCTAGCTCTTTCTTTTGCCGCCGCAGTGTTGCGTAGAAACAGTGGGCTGACGTCCCGGCTATTCTGACCTTTTCGTATGATTTTTACATTGTCCCTGGATTGATCGATGCGTCTCTTCAACTGCGATGCTGTTAACGCCGATCTCTCCAAATGTTCTTTATCTAAACGATCAGATTCCTTCAGAAATTTATCCCTTGCAATTTTAAACTCAGTTTTTGGTAATCGACCAAAATGCGCTTCAAACGGAGACAAATTTATTGTTTTCTGTTTATTCCATCTTAGGTCCCTAATTATTGTGCTCAAGCACAGTTTAATAGATTGTACTTTTTCTTCGAGTAGCATTACTCCCAATCTTCGTTTAATAGTTTGTATTGTTCGTTCGACTAGTCCACATCCTCGCTGATCACCGACTGGACAGAATTTTTGAGTAATATTGTTTTCGGTGCAAAATTTTTTCATTGATTTTCCTGTAAACCCGGAAAACTGATCCCTTTTAAGCGATTCTGGTATTCCATGTGTGTCAATGTAGGTACGTAGAAATTTTATTGTTCATTTTCCCCATGTAGATTTCGTTACTTTAACTGACGGAAATTTTGAGTATCTATCAATAGCAACTAACAAATTTTTCTTCTTCCCCTTATGGTCTTAGAATGGACCCGCATAGTCCAATTGCAATTCTTGACCAGGCTGTGTCAACAGTGGAAGTGGTTTGGCCGAATTTTTTGGAATTATATATTTAGCATTCTTACCATAACGAGTGCAACTCCTACACTCTTCGGCCATATTGACTATGTCTTTGTGCATGTGTGGCCACCATAAGTAGTTGGAAACCTCCAACATCGCTTCTTGGCCAGGATTTCCTTGATGAAGTCGTCGAAGCACCGCTTGTCTCAGCTTCTCTGGTACGGCTAAACAATTGTCCACCAGTAGGCAGTCATCTACTACCGACATCTGGTGCCACAGAGGATTGGTGTATGGATCCATTAGCTCAAATCCGTGTCTGTCGTTCCGTTCCACCACTCGCCTGAGCCGATCCATCCAAGTATCTTCTGATACTAGTTCCGCCAGTATACTTTTGTCGAATAATTTCTCGAGTGATAGTGGGCCATTTGTTTCATTTAACTGCTCCGACAGTTGGTAATTGCTTTTCCGCGATTTATGTCCACCTCTCGTTTTCTGTTGCGGTGTGACCATACAAGTCTCAGTTCCTGAACTGTAGTCCGATTCATCATTGCTGTCCATCGTTAAATCCACTTCAATGATTTGTCCAATCTCAGGTTCATCTCCTGATTGGGTTTGTCCCGGTGGTTTCGGGCTCTGCATCACCGAATTGGCTTCTGTTTCCATCGTTGATCGGGGTTCCTTACTCCTTTCCGATCCTATTAGGTCCCAAAATGAAACTAACATTGGTTGGGCTGTTGTAGCAGTTGATGTTGACTGACCGCTATTTCCCGTGTCTGTTCTGATTTGTCTGTTCAACAGGTTCCAATTCGCCTGTGGTATTTGTTCAAAGTCCGAATTCTCTGACTATGATCTGTTTGGGGTCCTTTGTATCATTCTGGTTCTTTGGAACGTCGTTTCTGTTATTTCCTCCCTCAATGTGTCTGTGTTATTCCGATCCTGAATTCTGACCATCTTTTTTCTTTTCCTCTTTTCGCTGTTTCGCCTGAGTGCATATTTTGTGATTCACGACTTGATAACTTTCCGATTTTTCTAACTGATTCGACCGACTGTATTTGCTGACGATTTTGAGATAAACTGATTTTTAAGTTTTCAAACTTTTCTCGTTGAAACGAACGTGAATCTTCATTTCTTTCGTTCCGGTCGTGCTTTGTCCGTTTTGAACCGTTTTGGTTGCCATAGCAACGGGTAGATGACGTGTTCTGATTTGATAGATTTTGGTCAATTCTAGAATATTCTAGAACGTTTTCGTTCCGGTCGAGCCTATCGTGATCACCCAGTCGACTGTTTAAACAGTCGAGAGCTTTATGAAAACGTTCGATCGATGTGACTAGAAATTTTTCATCCAATACTGACTCCGGCCATGGTTCACCCTTCGGGTTTCTAGATAGGTAATCTACTATACCCATATCTCTCCCTGGTAAATGAAGAACCTTAAATTGATAGGGTAGTAATCTGTCTACCCATCTAGTCAGCCTAGATTGGTAGGTTTTATTTGACTTATTTTCATCCAAGGCAGAAACCAGTGTTTTATGATCTGTGGCTATCACGAATTCTTTTCCTAACAAATAATGTTTAAATCGGTCAACAGACCATACTACTGCTAGCAGTTCTAGTTCATTTGTGGAGTATTTTTTTCTTGTGTATTTAAATATCTGGAAGCGAATGCAATCGGTATCCACTCCCCCTCCAAGTTTTGTTGTTCCAACGATGCCCCCAGCCCACTATGGCTGGCGTCACATTTTACCCTAGTAGCCAACTTAGGGTCGTAATAATGAATTTTTGTTATATTCGCAACCGCTGTTTTCATCTATTCGAATATCTCCGAATGTTTTTCTTTCCATTCAAATTTTTTTACTTGAATTTTCACACTTTTGAGTTTTTTTTCTCATTTTCTTCTCGCAGCAGAGGTCTCAACTTTTCAGTTAAGGTAGCTGCGTTTGGAATGAATTTGGCCAAATGATTTATACTACCCAGAAATGATCTAAGTTGTTTCAATGAAGTTGGCGGACTAAGCTTCAATATCGCTTCCGTTTTTGTTATCTTTGGAGAAATACCCTCCAACGATAACTTATGTCCCAACCAATTCACCTCCTGTTGAAAGAAGTCACATTTCGACAGTTTTAGTGCTAAGTTTTCTTTGTCTAACTTTTCCAGCACGTTCATGATCAATTTTTCATGTTCTTGTTCACTTCCTTTAGACACAATGAGTATGTCGTCAAGAAAACAGAATGTATTTTCCGCATGGTTCAAAGTTCTGTCCATAGCTTTTTGAAACTCTGCTGGCATATCTGCCAGACCGTAAAATCCGGTCAAAAATCTGTATGTTCCAGTAGCTTGCCCACCTATGATGTTAAAATTGCATTGTTTACCTGTCTCTGCAGTCAGCTTAAGTTGACTGTAGGCATACTTCAGATCTAATACTGAGAAATACAGTGTACAGCTTTCATTTGCTGTGATTATTTGGCTGACCCCATCCAATAATTCATCCACATTCGGCATTTGATATTTATTTTTGAACAACTGTCTATTTATGGGTTTTGCATCTAAGGCCAATTTTGTTTTTTACTGCAATTACAATAGGTGCTACAAAGCAATCACTAGTACATTTGTCTAGACGTTTTATATGCCCCTCTTTTAACAGTTTTTCCATTTCCTCATACATTTTCTCTTGTATGTGTATTGGGATGCGTCCCCCTTTTTCTTGTAATAGACAAAGTGGGTATTTGAACTTTGTGCTGACAACGTGATTTTTCGAACACCCTTGACGATCAAAAAGGTTTTTAAATTTACTATAAAATTTGTTTTTCCAACCTTCTGACTGTTCGCACAGTAACACGTCAAACCTCGTCTTTTCTTTTGGTGCCAACTTCTGTGTTGTATGTATCCCGACTTTGCTCTGTAAGTCCAGCCCCAAAATACATCGCGTGCGCCGTTCTGTGATTAAGAACGATGCTCCCACCACCTCCCACCCTGCTGAACGTATGTTCGTGGTGATTGCACCCAGTATATTAATCGGTTGTTTGTTATTGTCTACAAATTTTGTAGTCAAGTTGAGATTCTCCCGTGGAATGAACCTCGTATTTTTTGAAGACTCTAGAATTTGCTTTGCAATCGCCCAGTTCAAAAATGATACTGGACTACCCGTATCAATAGTCATGTTTATGATTTGATGATCTATTCTCACCAAAGCTTTTAATGACCTTATTTGTTTCGATCGGGTATTTCTGCGAATATCAACCTTCTGTATGTCCTTGCTACTCTTCTTGACATCTTGGTTTCTATTTGATTGCTGTTTTATATACTCATCTATTTCTTCCATCGAAGACAATTCTGATTCAATAGCCATAATTTCGAACTCCTCACACGAGTCAAATGACTGAACTAAATTGCACTCTTCATCTGAGCTGGATGATTTTTCCGCAATCTCATTTACTTGCTGTGACTTACACATTTTTGCAAAGTGATTTGGTTTAGAACAATTTTTACATGTTTTGCCCATGGCCGGACATTTCTTCAAATGTCCTTCCCCAAATAGTCGACCACATCGAGTACACGTTTTCGGGTCTGTAAAGTTTCTCCCCTCCTTTCTGTCTGATGATTTCTTTTTGTAAATGTTGTTCGGTTGTCTCCTTCCATTAGCATTTTTATTGCCAATACTCATGATTGGTTCTTGTTTTATCTTCATTGTTCCTTTTACCTGAGCTGTACTTGCAGTCGTTGCATTAGTTTTCGGAAATGCCTGAGTTGTCTGTTTACTTTGTTCAAATTTCAACGCCCTTTTCAATACTTCCTCTGGTGAAAATGTTTCAAATGTTAATGTGTCTTGTAGTACCACATTTTTCATTTTCGATATGAATAGGTCACGCACTAGTTGGTCCTCCAGTGTCCCTAATTCTGCTCTGGCTGCTTGAGCAGTTAATGCGGCATGAAATGCCTCGAGTGATTCCCCTGTTTCCTGTGAACGATTAAACAGTTTGTAGCGTTCATACGTAACACTCTGTGATTTATCAAATGAAGTCTTAGCCAAGGCAACCATCTGTCGGAATTCCAACTTTGAAACTTCTACATGCGGGTTCTTTTGTACAAATTTCTTCTTTCCTTCTGTTCCCAACGCCAGGAATAATCTAGAGGCTACTCTTTTCTGTACCTCGTTGTGATATACGTTGTGTCCAACCTTTGGTCCTCAAGTTTTTCTTTCTTCATTTTCCAGAAGGATCTTGTCCCGGGCTAGTTGGTCTCGAGCCTCCCTTTCTGTAATCGCCTGAGCGTTTTCATGTTCTCGTGGGGTCTCTGGTCTTGGTAACGGTTTCAATAGAACTTCTTTCGGTTCTTCTAACAATAGTTCCGGATTCACGCTCTCCTTTACTGTAACTGCCAAAAAAAATTGGTCTAGCCATATCTTGAAATTCCAAGGAGGGTCGGAATTCGCGGTTGTCCAAAATACAGGGATCCCCATACCTGTTCTATTGTCCTGGGACAGAAATCCTGCTGGCTGCGCCATGTGATAATGTTATGCTATGAGTAGGTAAGAAGAAAAAAGAATAATTGAAACATTTAATTTAGACTTCTGATTTACTTGGTTTTGTTAGAGATCCAGTTCATGTGTCTCCTAAGATCGCAACCGTCCAAATGACTGTTACGTTTGGCCTGCATGGATGGCCTTGAATAATACTAACAAAACATAACAGAATATTAATAACACTTTCTCCAAGGTTACTGTGGTAACAGTACTACACGGTACCACAGAAGGACACCGGCCTGCGCTATTCGTCAGAAATTGTTGTTTCCGACTCGAATTTGTCTAAAGACTTCCCCCTTTGCATTTGTTATTGCAGCATGTCAGCTGCAGTGCCATGTGTAAGAACTTTTTTGGGAGTGGGGAGATGGCGCATACATTGATCGACCTTGATCAACTTGGCCTATGAAAGTAATAAAAATTTTAGTTGCTGTTGTTGTTGTTTCAATCACCAGATTATTGATGGGATTGGCGACCACTAAGTACGTCAACCTGGCAGGGAACGTGTTCAGACGAGGGATCACTAACAGCTCCGACTTGGACTCAGTGGACGACTTGATCAACAGTCGACACTCTGATTTCAGAAGTGACTTCGGCTACGTGGCCACTTGGTACAAGGTCGGTCATATTTCAGAATACAGGAGCGGATTTCGAAAGTCCCCCGAAATACTGGAAAGGTTCTATTTCACCAAAAAGAATCTGCGGCGCTGGCAAGTTGAGAGCAAGATGTATAAATTTCGGTGTCAACTTTTATGCTATTAATTTTAACACTAATTTTTAAAAAGAAGCGCTTAAATTATATGTTTATAATATTATACAAAATTTCAAACAACAAAAAAACTTGAGTAAAACTACAAAAAAATAAAGCTAAGCATACTGAGTCTCTGCCAATTAATACCTAGGTTTATATGTTTAAGTTTTTGTTCTCTTGTCTATTTAATTTAAAATCAATTTTCACAAAATGACTGTCAAGTGATTCTCAATCTGTTACCTTTTTTTTAGTGTGCATGAAAATGTACCATTTAGTCGCTTTTAGGTCATGGACAATGACATGGAGACTGCCTTCTTCAACAGCTACCAACTCATCATAGTGTGTCAGTTACGTCATACTGATGAGTCACAGGAAAACACGACAGATGACTCATCATCGGTGGCCGAGAAGTGTTTCGTCATCATGGACTTTTATGAGATCAACTTCAGCCAGGAACAAGGAAATCCCATGCACTTCGTCACTGGATTCAAATTTTCCCTCTTCGGTACAATCAATCAAACATAACTCCGTTCTGCCAGCCACCACTGGACTCCCTCCCAACACACCCCCCTCCTCCTCCTCCTCCATTCCCGATCGATAGCTATATCATATGATTTTGTATCCTTTCCGCTCCTTTTGAGTCAGACATCCTAAGATACGTTGCAGACAATCCTCTGCTCTATGTATAATCACTTCACCATTAATGCATGCTTACATTTTGTCTGAGGTTTTCTGATACTTATACATCAAGCGATACATCAAGTAATCCGATAGTTTTAAAAACATTTCAGAGACTTTGTCTATTAGAGTCAATTACCAATATTTGAGCTAATCAGCTCTTTGCGGCGAACTTGTGCTGATGTTGACTTTTTCTATGGGCTAATAAATGTTGCCACACAATGAACACAAATCATAAGAGAACAAAACCAAAGTCTGGATTGAGACGTCTTAGCTGCTCTCCCTACATAGCTGTCTCCAAGGGTTGGGCTGATAAGGGTTATCTTGCATGATTTTACTGGATGATGGTTAAGAAGCTTAAAAGGTGATGGTTATCTTGCAATGTTCCAGGCCAACAAGACCTAAATTTTGTACTTAATCAAATTTTTTGTACTTTCTGAAATTGTTTCTTCTCTGTCCCGTTCAGTGAAATAAGTTCTTCTTCTTCTTCTTTTACACCCCGTTATCATAGCTGTGAGTCATTCTCTGCTGTGATTTTAGACGTGGAGTATGAACTGCCTGGATCTGGCACTGCAGATGTGCACCACTATCAGTACAGCTCTAACTTCGCCATTCCGGGCATCTGGGTGTTCGAGTTGAAACAGACTGGCAACACCGCAGACCTAAACTGGGTCATAGCCCCCCTCGCAGACTTCGCTACCAATCCAGACCCCTGTCCTGGCGCTCAACTCACCCCCTCCCAACCTCACTCTTCGATGTTTCTAACGGAAACTCAGTTTATTGTCTTCGGACCTTGTGAAATGCTAGGCGGAATGGGAAGCCTGGTCAAGTTCAACTTCAAAGGTTACTTTTGGGAAAGACATGTTTTTCGGCTTTGTCGACTTTTTTGAATTCGAGTTCATTTGAAGCCAACCATTATTACATTAGTGAGAAATCTTGAGCTTCATTTGGAGTAAAGTTTTCAGACTGTCAAAACACTTTCAGGACCAAGTTAACGTCCCCCACCAACCAAATCAGTGTAGGGGGAGGATGTCAACTTGGTTCTGAGTTGGAATTTTCAGCCAATTAGAGTCGAACCTTTTACACGCAGCGCTTAGCTATAGCTAGTCATACAATTTCCATATATGAAAAAATACTAATCATAGACTTTTCATGCAATTTTCTGTACATATGGAATTGTATGGATAGTTAATGACTAGCATTTTTCCATATATGGAAGTTGTATGACTAGCTTTTTTGGTTAACCCGGGTAATATAATCTAAATTAAACGCTTAGGTGTAAACGTGGTCTATATATCTGGGGTGGGAGATGTTAACTCAACCCCATTTTCTGATATTTAACTTTTTCGGCTACATTGAAAATTTATCCTGAGTGTAAATATGTTTTTTTTTGCTTTTAAGCATTCTATACGTTGTTATGGTGTATAAGACTTTAGATATTATATATTATGCAGTTCCAATTATTGCTTTCAGGTCACTTTGAGCGGGAGATTGAGGCTGTGGCCTTCGATGGCTCCAACACTCTCTTCGCCCTCGCCCCCGTTCCCTTGATGTGGGGGGTGAATGAGGATGTCATCATCACTGTCACTCTTGGAGGCGTAGTTGTAGGGGGTCCATTCCACTTCACCTTCATTGCACCTGAAGGACAGCTGATTAATGAGGGGGAGCAGGCGCAACAGATGACAGGGCTCTTTTCTAGTCTTCTCTCTCCTTTTTGATTTATTGGCTCAACCCTCTTAAATTGTGATTAAAAGGGGACTAATAAGGGGTAGTTTTAGGAGGGGCGGACGCCCCCTCCCCTCCCTCAGGGATTGGAACCCTCACCGATCAAAGGGCCCTCCCTTTAGTATTTTTTATGACATCAATTTTTGGCCGACTTAACTGAAAATTTTTCTAAAGACGCCTTTGAAAAGCAATTTGATCGACCTAAAAATAACGGTCGACAAATTTTTCATTTTTTTTAAATCCGCGCCCCCCCCCCCCTCTCGAGAAAATCCTAGATCCACCCTTAGGCTAAGAAAAACTTAACAATCCCGTAAGTATCCCGTTGCTCTGATATTCATATTCAGTTAAATGTTGCCATAACAATTATTTTTGCAAAAGCAAAACGAATTAAAAAGCAAATAAATTTTTGCGGGATTCAAGAAGCGGTTGTAGCAGGGAGGGATTGTGATGGGGGGAGGGGGGGTGGAAAGGTGCCCAATGATTGCAGTTATTGTGTCTGATGATCGAAGTGGGGTGACTCTTTCGTGGCCTACTGAAGAAGAAGAAGATGGCGGGCAAGCTGGAGCTGACTCAGATGAGCTCGTGGAGTTACATGTATACCCTGTCATGTCTCTAGGTGATTACAATTAGTTTCATCGCTTATTCTTTGTCTAATTTTTTTGAATTAATGGTCTTCGAATTATCATGCTGGTTGAGAACACTTTGTTTAATACTAGTAAACTCAGTTTAATAAAAAAAGTTTCACTAGAGGTGAAAATTGATGAGTTTGAGACACATATTAGAGCGCATCATCTGTCCTCTCGTTTTTATGGTGATAGAAATAGTATCTCATGTCTAGGAGTTCTTTTTTTTCTTTTCAGGTGTGTCTGGATTGGATTTAAATGAAACGATAGTGCTCCCAGCTGTCATCAATATCTCCTCCCAGTCATCTTTCTTCTACCAGTTCCCTAATGTTCCAGACAACTCTTCATCCTCGGAAATGTTTTCTGTGTTCAAACTCCTTACGGCGTCTAGTACTGATCATACAGGTTGCACGAACTGATCAAAGAAATTTTTGTACTTATTAAAATAAAAATAACCGTTTTAAATAAAGAAAACTTTCAAGTACGCTTCACAAAAACGCTATATTGCAAAAAATCTGGGCTTTAAAATTTTCAAACAAAACGATTTTTCAAAAACGGAAGCTAAAATATGAGAAGGAAAGGGTAATAATAATAATAATAAATTGTTTCCAAACGATATCTAGTTACAAAGTTATTTATAAAAATTTATAAATACAAATTAGAATCGTTCGGGAGAACACCATTAAGCCAACAAGGCCCGTTTTCAGGTGTCTCATAATCATAGTATAATGACAAAATTGCTCCGAAAATATAGAACAAATTGAGCTCCATAATTATTGACTAAAATCATCTTGAGAGGGCATCCCGATAGACTTTCCAGCAAAACGTGCTGTAAGCCTCCTCAGTACGCAGAAAATTTGTAAAACACGGAACATTTTTTTACTAAAAAGTAATTAACATTTATAATAAATTTTTATATTGTTTGTTTCTTAAAAAGTTTTCCACAGTTTTTTTAAAATATTTTAAAAAACCTGCTCTGAAGCCCCAGAAGCGCAGTACTACAGTTAGACTAATAATCCATATCATTTGACGCCAATTCCTTAGAAAAATTTTGAACAACTCAAAGTGTAATTGTAGAGAAACACGTGAATTAATGTTGTTTCATACGATAAACATCCAAAGAAAACCGGAGTGGTTTCGAACAAGCACTTCAACTGTTTTAATATATTTCATATAAACCTTGAGAATGATCATTTATCCAGAGATTTGCCTGCTACTAAGTTTTTATGAATTTTTGTTGCAATAACGAGCTTATGTAAATCTTCTTCGTTTGGAAAACTTTTTTACAATTCTCATTTTTCTACCCATTATTTTGGGACACAATTTCTGGAATGAATTTGATTTATATCTAGCCAGGTGGTTATTCCAATTTTTGAAGAATGTGATGGAATATTTGTGCTTGGGGTAGTTTTTTTTATATCCAGACAAGTTTCGACTTTTTAACCAGCAATTGTTGAAGAAAATTCTCAATATCATCCAAAAATGTTTTTGCCCTGAGCTCAAATTAAAAACAAATACCTGTGATCGTTTTTTGCAAAACTATGGGGCTTAAGTTTTACCAATCTAGCCAAATTGGGATAATAAGCGCAGGATATATATTTCGTGCTGTTAACGTGTAAGCTGAAATTTACTTCATTCTTCTAAATTCTTCTTAAATTAGGATTGTTTTGGACAAAAACTGAAGAAGACAAAACTTACTTAGGATTTTACCAGAAATATAGTGCAATTTATTTTGCAAAATTTGCACCCGACATTTTACCACAAAAGCATCAGTTTTGGTTTTTAGCCGATCAAAAATTACACCAAAGTTATTGAATCAAATGATATCAAAATTAAATCAAAGTGAGCCCTCGTATGTAGCTCAACAAAGTTTTAGAAGGATCTTCTCAGTTTGAATATTTTGTATAAAAAAATATCATTTTTTTATTGACTAAGAAAACCAAAAATAACTTTTTTTGGGATAAATTTTTGGGCCCCACTTTCGCAAAATATATTGCACCATAATAAATCGGCTAAAATTTTAAGCAAGGTTTGTTATCATTTTTGTCTAAAATCAGCCGAATTAAAAAATGCCTTTTAATTTTTAAGTTTTATTCATTTTGTCTGGATAAATTAAATCAGTGCCGCTTGGTATGTTTAATAATCTGCCATATGCAAATTATATCAATTTTTACATTTTCTTGGAGAATTATTTTTGAAAAAAATATTCATCAAAAATTAATTGAATAGTTTCTTTTTTAAATTATCTTTTTTGTAAAGTGGACACTATTCCATAGAGCTTGAAAGGCAATAGGAACGCCCTGGTCCGAGCTTTCTTATTTTTTTATTGACTGATATTTTTCGTGTCAAACAATACTCCGCTATCCTCTCTCTAAAGATCATTTTCCTGTTCATTTAGTCGTTTTGAAATTTCACAGCGACAGTTTTTTTGAGAAAATACGGTGAACACGTCGTTTTATCCGCTTTCTCTTTAAAAAATAAATAATTTTACTGTTAGGTTAATAAAATGTTAATTAATTAACCTTTAGGGCTGATGGGTCGTAAAATGGTACCAAATAGGGCCCATTTGATTGTTCAAGTTTTTTGAGTTTCTGCAGCTGGGGGTGCGATTGTAACCCTTTGCTCTCCAAATCTGTCTTTCATTTCAGAGCTTTACTGGGGATCAGCAGTCGGAGGCTCTTTGGGAGTTGAGGGGAATGGCGATGGCGATGATGATGGTGATGATGGAGAGTGTGATTCGTGGGTATCCAAAGACAGAGAAGTAAACGGGGTTGATGATGACTTGAATGTGTGTGCGTCGCAATTGGAATCCATCTACCCCTGTCCCAGTGTACCATCTTTTATATTGCTCTCACCAACAAGTCCTAGTTCAATTACTTGATCATAACTCAACTCTATCACTATAAAAAAGATGAAAATGCTGCGAGCACAATTGGATACTCTTCAAACACGAACCCTTGGCCCAATTGAAAAAAAAATTTTAAATAATAGTTTTGGACTATCATGATGCTGAGTTTATGTGAGAGTATAATACTTTCTGCATAAAGTTGTTTTTTGACGTGTTCTCGAAAATCATATTTGTTTGTCAACGTAATTGAACTGCAATGACCCTTCCGTCAGCAACAACATCAGCAAACCCCTTTTTGTTCAACTTCAACGACACAGATGACGCCTTCTGGGCCCACGAGGAAGTGTCCAAAGGCAATCCACCCACCCTTCCCACCCAATTCATACTCAATTAACATCTTCAATCGAAGCTACCTTACTTAGCTCTTCTGCTTAAAATTAGACAATAAGTCAAACATAGCTCCCTTTTCTTCGTCTCACCCCCAGTAGCGAAGTCTGTTATATTCTAATCACGCCTTTCATACTTCCTCAATACTTGCATGATGACAGAGTATACTCAACTCGTCTGAAATCACTGGTGATATCATGAAGATGGCGTCTCATATAGCATAGTATCTGATACGCTTAAATTTTGCAGTGTACCATTACGTATAATTTTCAGTAATTAGGTGACCGTTTTTTTTCCAAACCTGCGTTTAAATGATAAAAAATTAGTGATCAGCCACATACCGACATGTAATAGCTTAAGCCGAACACTGATCGCTGCTCGGAGTAGAGAAACACTGATTGCTGCTCAGACCAAAGCAACACTGATTGCTGCTCAGAGCAAAGCAACACTGATCGCTATCAGAGCAGAGCAACACTGATCGCTGCTCAGAGCAGAGCAACACTGATCGCTACTCAGAGCAGAGCAACACTGATCGCTACTCAGAGCAGAGAAACACTGATCGCTGCTCAGAGCACAGCAACACTGATCGCTGCTCAGAGCAGAGCAACACTGATCGTTACTCAGAGCAGAGCAACACTGATCGCTGCTCAGAGCAGAGCAACACTGATCGCTACTCAGAGCAGAGCAACACTGATCGCTGCTCAGAGCAGAGAAACACTGATCGCTGCTCAGAGCAGAGAAACACTGATCGCTGCTCAGAGCACAGCAACACTGATCGCTGCTCAGAGCACAGCAACACTGGTCGCTATTCAGAGCAAAACAATCCTGATCGCTGCTCAGAGCACTGCAACACTGTTTGCTTTTCAGAGCAGAGCAACACTGATCGCTATTCAGCGCAGAGAAACACTGATTGCTATTCAGAGCACAGCAACACTGATTGCTATCAGAGCACAGCAACACTGATTGCTATTCAGAGCAGAAGTGCAGAGCAACACTGATCGCTGCTCAGAGCACAGCAACACTGGTCGCTGTTCAGAGCAAAACAATCCTGATCACTGCTCAGAGCACTGCAACACTGATCGTTATTCAGAGCAGAGCAACACTGATCGCTATTCAGCGCAGAGAAACACTGATTGCTATTCAGAACACAGCGACACTGATTGCTATCAGAGCACAGCAACACTGATCGCTAATCAGAGCAGCGCAACACTGATCGCTGCTCAGAGCAGAGCAACACTAATCGCTGCTCAGAGCAGAGCAACACTGATCGCTGCTCAGAGCAGAGCAACACTGGTCGCTATTCAGAGCAAAACAATCCTGATCGCTGCGCAGAGCACTGCAACACTGTTTGCTATTCAGAGCAGAGCAACACTGATCGCTATTCAGAGCAGAGCAAGACTGATCGCTATTCAGAGCAGAGCAACACTGATTGCTATTCAGAGCAGAGCAACACTGATCGCTATTCAGAGCAGAAGTGCAGAGCAACACTGATCGCTATTCAGAGCAGAGCAAGACTGATCGCTATTCAGAGCAGAGCAACACTGATCGCTGCTCAGAGCACAGCATCACTGATCGCTATTCAGAGCAGAGCAACACTGATCGCTATTCAGCGCAGAGAAAAACTGATTGCTATTCAGAGCACAGCAACACTGATTGCTATCAGAGCACAGCATCACTGATCGCTATTCAGAGCAGAAATGCAGAGCAACACTGATCGCTATTCAGAGCAGAGCAACACTGATCGCTATTCAGAGCAGAAGTGCAGAGCAACACTGATCGCTATTCAGAGCAGAGCAAGAATGATCGCTATTCAGAGCAGAGCAACACTGATCGCTGCTCAGAGCACAGCATCACTGATCGCTATTCAGAGCAGAGCAACACTGATCGCTATTCAGCGCAGAGAAACACTGATTGCTATCCAGAGCACAGCAACACTTATTGCTATCAGAGCACAGCATCACTGATCGCTATTCAGAGCAGAAGTGCAGAGCAACACTGATTGCTATTCAGAGCAGAGCAACACTGATCGCTATTCAGAGCAGAGCAAGACTGATCGCTATTCAGAGCAGAGCAACACTGATTGCTATTCAGAGCAGAGCAACACTGATCACTATTCAGAGCAGAAGTGCAGAGCAACACTGATCGCTATTCAGAGCAGAGCAAGACTGATCGCTATTCAGCGCAGAGAAACACTGATTGCTATTCAGAGCACAGCAACACTGATTGCTATCAGAGCACAGCAACACTGATCGCTATTCAGAGCAGCGCAACACTGATCGCTGCTCAGAGCAGAGCAACACTGGTCGCTATTCAGAGCAAAACAATCCTGATCGTTGCGCAGAGCACTGCAACACTGTTTGCTATTCAGAGCAGAGCAACACTGATCGCTATTCAGAGCAGAGCAAGACTGATCGCTATTCAGAGCAGAGCAACACTGATTGCTATTCAGAGCAGAGCAACACTGATCGCTATTCAGAGCAGAAGTGCAGAGCAACACTGATCGCTATTCAGAGCAGAGCAAGACTGATCGCTATTCAGAGCAGAGCAACACTGATCGCTGCTCAGAGCACAGCATCACTGATCGCTATTCAGAGCAGAGCAACACTGATCGCTATTCAGCGCAGAGAAAAACTGATTGCTATTCAGAGCACAGCAACACTGATTGCTATCAGAGCACAACATCACTGATCGCTATTCAGAGCAGAAATGCAGAGCAACACTGATCGCTATTCAGAGCAGAGCAACACTGATCGCTATTCAGAGCAGAAGTGCAGAGCAACACTGATCGCTATTCAGAGCAGAGCAAGAATGATCGCTATTCAGAGCAGAGCAACACTGATCGCTGCTCAGAGCACAGCATCACTGATCGCTATTCAGAGCAGAGCAACACTGATCGCTATTCAGCGCAGAGAAACACTGATTGCTATCCAGAGCACAGCAACACTTATTGCTATCAGAGCACAGCATCACTGATCGCTATTCAGAGCAGAAGTGCAGAGCAACACTGATTGCTATTCAGAGCAGAGCAACACTGATCGCTATTCAGAGCAGAGCAAGACTGATCGCTATTCAGAGCAGAGCAACACTGATTGCTATTCAGAGCAGAGCAACACTGATCACTATTCAGAGCAGAAGTGCAGAGCAACACTGATCGCTATTCAGAGCAGAGCAAGACTGATCGCTATTCAGCGCAGAGAAACACTGATTGCTATTCAGAGCACAGCAACACTGATTGCTATCAGAGCACAGCAACACTGATCGCTATTCAGAGCAGCGCAACACTGATCGCTGCTCAGAGCAGAGCAACACTGATCGCTGCTCAGAGCAGAGCAACACTGATCGCTGCTCAGTGCACAGCAACACTGGTCGCTATTCAGAGCGAAACAATCCTGATCGGTGCGCAGAGCACTGCAACACTGTTTGCTATTCAGAGCAGAGCAACACTGATCGCTATTCAGAGCAGAGCAAGACTGATCGCTATTCAGAGCAGAGCAACACTGATTGCTATTCAGAGCAGAGCAACACTGATCGCTATTCCAGCAGAAGTGCAGAGCAACACTGATCGCTATTCAGAGCAGAGCAAGACTGATCGCTATTCAGCGCAGAGAAACACTGATCGCTGCTCAGAGCACAGCATCACTGATCGCTATTCAGAGCAGAGCAACACTGATCGCTATTCAGCGCAGAGAAAAACTGATTGCTATTCAGAGCACAGCAACACTGATTGCTATCAGAGCACAGCATCACTGATCGCTATTCAGAGCAGAAATGCAGAGCAACACTGATCGCTATTCAGAGCAGAGCAACACTGATCGCTATTCAGAGCAGAAGTGCAGAGCAACACTGATCGCTATTCAGAGCAGAGCAAGAATGATCGCTATTCAGAGCAGAGCAACACTGATCGCTGCTCAAAGCACAGCATCACTGATCGCTATTCAGAGCAGAGCAACACTGATCGCTATTCAGCGCAGAGAAACACTGATTGCTATCCAGAGCACAGCAACACTTATTGCTATCAGAGCACAGCATCACTGATCGCTATTCAGAGCAGAAGTGCAGAGCAACACTGATTGCTATTCAGAGCAGAGCAACACTGATCGCTATTCAGAGCAGAGCAAGACTGATCGCTATTCAGAGCAGAGCAACACTGATTGCTATTCAGAGCAGAGCAACACTGATCACTATTCAGAGCAGAAGTGCAGAGCAACACTGATCGCTATTCAGAGCAGAGCAAGACTGATCGCTATTCAGCGCAGAGAAACACTGATTGCTATTCAGAGCACAGCAACACTGATTGCTATCAGAGCACAGCAACACTGATCGCTATTCAGAGCAGCGCAACACTGATCGCTGCTCAGAGCAGAGCAACACTGATCGCTGCTCAGAGCAGAGCAACACTGATCGCTGCTCAGTGCACAGCAACACTGGTCGCTATTCAGAGCGAAACAATCCTGATCGGTGCGCAGAGCACTGCAACACTGTTTGCTATTCAGAGCAGAGCAACACTGATCGCTATTCAGAGCAGAGCAAGACTGATCGCTATTCAGAGCAGAGCAACACTGATTGCTATTCAGAGCAGAGCAACACTGATCGCTATTCCAGCAGAAGTGCAGAGCAACACTGATCGCTATTCAGAGCAGAGCAAGACTGATCGCTATTCAGCGCAGAGAAACACTGATTGCTATTCAGAGCACAGCAACACTGATTGCTATCAGAGCACAGCAACACTGATCGCTATTCAGAGCAGCGCAACACTGATCGCTGCTCAGTGCAGAGCAACACTGATCGCTATTCAGAGCAGAGCAAGACTGATCGCTATTCAGCGCAGAGAAACACTGATTGCTATTCAGAGCACAGCAACACTGATTGCTATCAGAGCACAGCAACACTGATCGCTATTCAGAGCAGCGCAACACTGATCGCTGCTCAGAGCAGAGCAACACTGATCGCTGCTCAGAGCAGAGCAACACTGATCGCTGCTCAGTGCACAGCAACACTGGTCGCTATTCAGAGCAAAACAATCCTGATCGGTGCGCAGAGCACTGCAACACTGTTTGCTATTCAGAGCAGAGCAACACTGATCGCTATTCAGAGCAGAGCAAGACTGATCGCTATTCAGAGCAGAGCAACACTGATTGCTATTCAGAGCAGAGCAACACTGATCGCTATTCCAGCAGAAGTGCAGAGCAACACTGATCGCTATTCAGAGCAGAGCAAGACTGATCGCTATTCAGAGCAGAGCAACACTGATCGCTGCTCAGAGCACAGCATCACTGATCGCTTTTCAGAGCAGAGCAACACTGATCGCTATTCAGCGCAGAGAAAAACTGATTGCTATTCAGAGCACAGCAACACTGATTGCTATCAGAGCACAGCATCACTGATAGCTATTCAGAGCAGAAATGCAGAGCAACACTGATCGCTATTCAGAGCAGAGCAACACTGATCGCTATTCAGAGCAGAAGTGCAGAGCAACACTGATCGCTATTCAGAGCAGAGCAAGAATGATCGCTATTCAGAGCAGAGCAACACTGATCGCTGCTCAGAGCACAGCATCACTGATCGCTATTCAGAGCAGAGCAACACTGATCGCTATTCAGCGCAGAGAAACACTGATTGCTATTCAGAGCACAGCAACACTTATTGCTATCAGAGCACAGCATCACTGATCGCTATTCAGAGCAGAAGTGCAGAGCAACACTGATTGCTATTCAGAGCAGAGCAACACTGATCGCTATTCAGAGCAGAACAAGACTGATCGCTATTCAGAGCTGAGCAACACTGATTGCTATTCAGAGCAGAGCAACACTGATCGCTATTCAGAGCAGAAGTGCAGAGCAACACTGATCGCTATTCAGAGCAGAGCAAGACTGATCGCTATTCAGAGCAGAGCAACACTGATCGCTGCTCAGAGCACAGCATCACTGATCGCTATTCAGAGCAGAGCAACACTGATCGCTATTCAGCGCAGAGAAAAACTGATTGCTATTCAGAGCACAGCAACACTGATTGCTATCAGAGCACAGCATCACTGATCGCTATTCAGAGCAGAAATGCAGAGCAACACTGATCGCTATTCAGAGCAGAGCAACACTGATCGCTATTCAGAGCAGAAGTGCAGAGCAACACTGATCGCTATTCAGAGCAGAAATGCAGAGCAACACTGATCGCTATTCAGAGCAGAGCAACACTGATCGCTGCTCAGAGCACAGCATCACTGATCGCTATTCAGAGCAGAGCAACACTGATCGCTATTCAGCGCAGAGAAACACTGATTGCGATTCAGAGCACAGCAACACTTATTGCTATCAGAGCACAGCATCACTGATCGCTATTCAGAGCAGAAGTGCAGAGCAACACTGATTGCTATTCAGAGCAGAGCAACACTGATCGCCATTCAGAGCAGAAGTGCAGAGCAACAGTGATCGCTATTCAGAGCAGAGCAAGACTGATCACTATTCAGAGCAGAGCAACACTGATCGCTGCTCAGAGCACAGCATCACTGATTGCTATTCAGAGCACAGCATCACTGATCGCTATTCAGAGCAGAGCAACACTGATTGCTATTCAGAGCAGAGCAACACTGATTGCTATTCAGAGCTTGGTCAGAATGAAATCCTCAATAAATACATCATTGTAACCTACAAATTATGCGTATTGGACTGTCATCATCGTCAAAAACTAATATATATAATTCAATTGGGGTAGAAAAGAGAAAAATTCATATGCAAGTCATTACCCAATTTTATCCCATTTTGTTCTCAAGTATAACTTTGAAAAACTCTAGCTGTACCATAGAACTTACCCCCTGTTTTGTAGGGTGGGAGGGGAGGGAAGGGAAGAGGTGAAAAAGTTCCGCCCAAATTTAAAAGGAACACATACTCATTTTAAGAGTTCAAAAATGTTGTTTAGGCGATGCACGGCCATTTATGGGGCTCCAAATGCCATCTGTGATTTTTTACTTGTTGAACCCGGATTGGGGAGCTCGACTTATGCTTTGACCGAACTCGGTCGAACACACGGATGTTCTTCGCCCCAAAATCCATAGTCAAAACACACCTTTCGGTCGAACACTATTTCGAAACATAATCGAAATCATGGTCGAAACATAGTCGAACACTATTTCGAACACTATTTCGTTTAGTCAAACTGAAACTCACTCTTCCGTCGGTCAAGCATAGCCAATTTTGGTTGACTCGGTCAAAACAACGCCATTTTTAGTCGAGTCGGTCAAAACAACGCCATTTTTAGTCGAGTCGGTCAAAACAACGCCATTTTTAGTCGAGTCGGTCAAAACAACGCCATTTTTAGTCGAGTCGGTCAAAACAACGCCATTTTTAGTCGAGTCGGTCAAAACAACGCCATTTTTAGTCGAATCGGTCCAAACAGCCAATTTTGGTCGAGTTGGTCGAAACATAAGTCGAATACCTCAACTCGGGAACCTCTGTTCTCGGCATCCGATTGCAAAAAATTTTTTTGAATTATAATGTTATATTAGTCTTTTTCAAATCTGTGTGATTATCTTTCATAGGCCATAAAATGAGGAAACTATGAAAATACTCAATTTTAGTCGACTTTTTTTCGTGAGGTGACAATTCATAACAGGTCTCGATTCGTTACAGCAAAATAAGCGGCAAATACTGATTCAGGCGCACAATACCGCTTGTTACGAATGCAAACACAACCCAGCAAAGCTACTTGCCATGCCAATCCAATGCCGTGTTATACAAAATGTCTCTTGTTAAAAATGGTCGCCCAACCCTTTTTTCTGGTCCGGATTGAAATTGAGTTGCGTGAGCGGGGTGGTGTCTTGAGGCGTGCTGGGATGGGAGTACGACATGTGTTGCCACAACCATCAGCAATCCATGACAGACGTCACCGAAGTCTTTAATTCACTCACTCTGCAGGGAATGGGTGTATGCTCCTCGACATCAACTTCTTGTCAGTTTAATCCAGGGGCTCATTTCTGCATTCGGTCTCCCCTCATGCAATGTGAACTGACCCACTCCGAGTCGTCGGCATACAAAAGCATGTCCACTCAGTGTTGCTACTCTACCGAAGGATCTCTCATCACTGAAGGAGACTCACCAGGAGCTACAGGGTCCGTCAACGTCGCTTTCAAGTCCATCGATAACGCCATGATGCACTACGTACAAGACTTACTTCCCAAGCTACAGTGCTGTCTCACAAAGGATAACTGTTCCTCTTTCTTATCTCGTAGACCCCCAACTTTGGGAGATTACAGGGGCGCACCCACAGCTTCCGCTGAATTTGGAGGCCACTTTGCATCTCTGGACGGGAACCGATTCCTGTTTCTAGGAGTGGGCGTGTACGAGCTGATCAATGTCACCTCTGCTGGCGTCGTCCCGGTGAACCTTGGAGATGAGCTGCGAATCCAAATAGTGACTCGGTCTCTCGGTGGAAGTGTAGTAATAGTTGGTTTTGTGCTCCAACAAGATGACTTCAAGTTCGAACTCTTGAGGGACGAGTTATACGATACCTCTTTTTTGATCGATGAAGAAGAGCATGACCCTATTTTGTCCAGATTCGTGAAGGGTGGATTTGAGGTGCAGTTTGATCTCATTGCGGGTTCAGTTACAGGTGTTTCTTTGCGCAACCTCAAAACTGGATTCGTCCTGCGGGCATCTCAAATTGGAATCTGGATGAACCTTTACGTGCAGCTCCCCAATTCCAAAGTGATCAATGGGAATTCTCTGGTGGGGGGACTTATTGGATTTTTGGACGAGGAACTGATTGATCTGATTCTCGAGCAGGATATATACAGTAAGTAATACCACGTCGGTTCGGTTAACTCAAAGCTTACATCTTTTCTTATGCTGCTTCTAGTTCTTGTCATGCATGACGTGAAAAATTGCATAACAGTGAATCGTTCTTGATCGCAAAGGGATTCGAGCCCCTGCCGACCCAAAGGGCCCTTCCATTGTACTATTTTGATATATCAATTTTTGAATGACGGGCCCTAAAATTTTTCTAAAGGTGCCGAAACAACGCAAATTTTTGGTCAAAAATGTCTAAAGAGCCTAAAAAAGCCTTTTTGGCCTGTTTTTTTTTCAGAAATTTGAATGCGGCGCAGAAAATTTGGCCGATACAGGGTCTTTCTACTGATTTATGAGAGCTCGGAAAATCAAATTGGTCGACCTAAAAAAAAGGTCGACAAAATTTTCGACAATTTTTTGAAAAAGCTCCCCCACTCCCCTCGAGAAAATCCTAGATCCACCCCTGCTTAAAACTCTTGCTTTGTGGAAAACTAAGTTTCTTGTTTGTGTTTTCACATGACCTTTAATTTATTGAGTATTTTTTAGTATTTTATCAAGGTCAAATTTTTCAATCGTGTATCGTTTATAACCCAAAAAACACTAAGCCAACCATTGATGACTTTTAAAAAAGATCGGTGGTCTGCTATTCCTCATCTCTTGCGAAATCCGTCAAGCGTTTCATTTGAAGTTAAAAGTATGCAACTTGTTGCTCTTATGGAATTACTTTTAAGTATTGACTGCTGCTGTTTCGATCAGTTCACGAGGTGGGAATGAACGATGAGCTTGGTAGTATGGTTTTTCTTCGCAATTTTGACTAACCCCAAGAAAGCTCGTAGAGGGTTAAGTGTGTTGTATCATATTAAAACCCTATTGGTCGTAATTCGTAATCCAAAAATCGGTGTCTCAATGTAGAGAAAAGCTGGTCTAATTCGAGGTTGACTTTCAAACTCAATTCTTCAACAATGTTCACGTTGCTTAAGCCATTGTTACCACTCATTCCAGCATTTTCCACGTTATTAAATCGAGCTTTCTAAACTCATAATTGAAGGTTTGTTTTTAAGTAATGAAGAAAAAACATGTTTTTTGAAATCAGCGTGGTCGGAACATTCTTTATAGTGATATAGCTACACCAGTTATGCTTGATTGTGTTCGCTTTTATTTGCACAGACATGACTAGTGATGATATGATGATGGAGAATGATGTCCATGAAAGGATGCAGTCGGAGTATGGAGTGGCCTCACTGGACCATTCTCTCTTCTCCCCCTCCCTCCACCCTCTCATTCAGCAGCTGACCACAATGACAACTGAGACGACGACACAGGAGTATCAAGAGAGATACAATGTGCCACAGAGTGCATATGATGCCTACTCCCAGGTAAAGTTCATACTAGTCCTGAATCACTCATTTTATGAAAGAATGAATGTCTGTAATTGATAGGCCAAGCAGAAGTCAGAACTCATTGAATCGAAAGAAATAAGTGGTGAAAATGAGTCAGTTTATAAAGTTTAAATGACTTTATGATTTCTTGAAAACTTTCGGGCGCTCAGTTCTGAGGCTTGTGCATCATTCACACCTTCTCTTTATCAAGGTAAATTCCTTATACTGAATTATGAAGGCTTCTTTCTTCTTGGGGGGGCCCCCAGGTGGCCTAAACGTTGGACATCACTCGGCTATCTTGGTTGAGTACCTCAGTCCGGGATTTTAGTCGACCCGAGATGAATTGTAGGACATGCTTTTTCTTATAGGCGTGTGGTGACGTGGACATGTGTATAGTGGACTCCCACCTACTCTCCCCTGGGGCGGGGGAGGGGGTGGCCGTCGACGTGAGTGACGTGCAGACTGCATTCCAACTGTACTCACTCCTGCCCCCGAGGGGATCCCAAACTCAAACCCTCTCAGATTTACATCTGTTCCTCCTCGAGAACGACAACAAGAACGCAAACAGTGGCACGAGCATATACTCTAACCTAATGGCAATTTTCCTTCACACTCTCATATTGTGTCCTCTGGTGTTGAACTGCCTCCTTGTTAACTGAGCATCAAATATGAACACTTTTGAAAATTTCACACCCCTTCTAATACCCTCTGCTCACTTATCAGTTTAGCTCTCATTCAGCTATCATCAAAGTACCCAGAAATTTATCAACTTTATTTCCTTTCTATTCTGATAAAATAAAAGACGGCAGCAGATTTAGGGAGTGGTGGGGGTGTTAGTTTTTTTCCTCGGGGATTCGACCATTTTCCGTTCCAATAGGTCCCCCCTTTGTACTATTTTGAGATCTTCATTTCTGGGTGCCGGGCCAAAAATTTTCTAAAGGCGCTTTTGGCGCCAATATATACTAATTTTGAGGTGGAAGCGCGCGCCGAAAAAACGCAATGTTTCCGTCAAAATTTTCCAAACAGTGCCTAAAACATTTTTTTTTGATGTTTTTTTCAAATTTTTGCAGAAAACTTCACACAAAAAAGTATTTTACTGATTTGTGAGATATCGGAAAATCGATTTGGTCGACCTAAAAAAAGCCGATAAAATTTCGAACATTTTTTGAAAATCAGCCCTCCACCCTCGAGAAAATCTTAGATTCACCCCATACAAAAGTGATGAATTGTTTGAAAAAGTGAACAAGATTCACCGTCTAAATCTCTAAACTCATAGGCTCAATTTCGGCTTATTTTTTTGCTCCGTAAAAATCCCACAGTCTCTTTAGCCGTGTAAGCAGATGTGGATCTAGGATTTTCACGGAGGGCATACTTTCAAAAATTTGTTGAAAACTTTAGAATCAAGTTTCAATTTCACGTCGAGCACAGTTATGGCTTTAGAAGTCACGGGTTTGGTCAAAAATGGTCGAATTTTACGATAAAGAACCATTCCTAAAGTTTTTAAATGACGTTTTTGTGACTGTTGTATCTCAGAAGATTCAGATAAAACTAATACTAAGACTCAATTCATCTTGTGGGTATAATAAGCGGGTTTGTTCTGGGCGATTGAGACGTAGATTCGATTGTAGCTGGAAATTTATGAACCCAACGGTCCAGGAAATCACATGCATCGAAAAATCGGCTAATACATTTAACCATATATTGCTCGTCAAAACAGTTTGGTAAAATGTAGGAAAACGAGATAAACAATCGACTATTCCCAATTTGCTTCCTGATATATGAATAACTCGAAATCGAATGACAATAAGCTATCAACCCATCGGGTTAAACGGGACTGGCGTCTCCCTGAATATAGAACGAAACGGATTAATTGTCCCACTCGAAGCGGGTGGTGAGATTGCTCCTTTTTTATCGGCGAGTCGCACCTCCTATGTCGCCAAGACCCATAAGCCCATCGGCATCCACAGCATTTTTGTCATATCCAAAAGCCATGTTTATTTCCTCCGCTCAATCGATTTCGGAAAATGCAGCTGCTATGATGATCAGCTTATCAGGAGTACTCAAAGCGTCGGCGATGGCTTCTATGCCAGTAAGCCGGGAAGAACTGTGATGGTGGTTTTGCTCAACCTATCAGCCTATCAAGAAACTACGACAACACGCGTAAACTGGACTCTCTCTCTCTCTCTCATACACACACACACACACACACTCTCTCTCTCTCTCTCTCTCTCTCTCTTTCTCTCTCTGATCCTGTTTTATATTGCAAAAAAAAACGGTATCAGACATAATCCTCAAAAAATATATTCTTTGTTGGCTGACGACTTCCGAAAAGAACCGGCAAACAATCGAAATAAAAAGACCAAAACATGGTTTTTTGCTCGAGAAAAATAATTATTAGGCGAGATCCCAGAGTTATGTCCAGATTTTGTGGGTCGCGCCGCATTCGGATTTAGACCCAACTTGCATAGTTACAGGAAATTTTGAGTCTTGAAAGTCTAAATATGAGTCGCGCCTTGGGTCGCAATAGTCTGGCCATACCAATATTTGGTCGCGAAAGTCTGGACATACCAAAAGTTGATCGCGAAAAACTGGACAAAGGTTGCGAAATTCTGGACGTACTAAAATTTGGTCGCGAAGGTCTGGGCATAAAGTCGTGAAAGTCTGGAAAATGTGTGTCTAGTTTTTCGCTACGTTATGCCCAGACTTTCGCGACCCATGACCAGACTTTTGCGACCAATTTTTGGTATGTCTAGACTATCAGGACCCACGACGCGACTAATATCCAGATTTTTCATTTGGGTGTAAATCCACGATGCGACTTTTGCGACCCACGGCGCAATTCTATGTCCAGATTTTCGCGACCATTTTTTGATATGTCCATAATTTTGCGACCCATGTCCAGACTTTCGCGACCAACTTTTGGTAAGTCTAGAATATCGCGACCCACGATGCGACTCATATTCAGACTTTCCAACTTCAAACTATTGGCTTGATTATGTAATTTGGGTCTAATTCAGGTTGCGGCGCGACCCACAGCATAATTTTTGCGACCCATAGAGCAATTCTATGTCCAATTTTCCGCGACCATTTTTTGGTATGTCCTGACTTTTGCGACCCATGACCAGAGTTTCGCGACCAACGACCAGAGTTTCGCGACCACAATGCGACTCTCATCTAGACTTTCCAGACTCAAAGTATTGGCTTGATTATGCAATTTGGGTCTAAATCCGGTTGCGGCGCGATCCACGGCGTGACTTTCGCGAACCTCAGATTCGCGATTATTTTTCGGTATGTCTGATAAAATGTTACTTTGTTGTAGCTAATTCTAAGTTAAAACTATTAAAAAGAATACGAATTAAGATGAATTAGTCGGTAAGTTGAAACATTAAAACAATGAGAGATCATTCTCTCCGCCGGAGAGAATGGCCATTGAAGATCATAAAGGAGTGACCTGTTAATTAAAGCTAAATACGTTTTGGAATAAATGCAAAATATGATGCAATCAAAACATTCCTCTAAGCAGGAAAAGTTTTAGTTTACGCTGAATAAGTACGAAATACGAAATAACTGAGTCTGAGTCCTTTCTCCCCCTTTTAAGGACAAGAAAAAGAATTTAATGCACCACTGAATAAGTAACTGAAAATTAACTAAAGCGCCACTCTAGTGCTAAGTACTACACCGATGGAATGAGGATATGGTTATCCAGTATCCGACGGATAAGATCTACCAAAAAGTAAGGAAATTAAAATAAGACAAAATTAGCACCGCAATTTAATGATGGCAAGGTGTCACATCGCGTGAGTTAGATGTAATGTCAGATAAGGATTTTATGGAAGCAGGGTATGATGGGCCAAACTATGGATAAGCACTCCGAAGGAATTGCTAAGTTACGAAAATTTGTGTACATTAAATCTTCCCACTCAATTTTAGGAAATATAACTTAGCACCGGTGTGTGAAATGGGATATACTCGTGAAGAAGGTCGGTATTATGCTTATTGATTACAATTTCTATACTCGTTTAAAAAGTTTTCTAGTTCGAGGTTAAAGAGTTCACTATCAAGTTCGGAATGATCTCCGAAATTTTCTACTTCCATTCTTAGCGATTCATCGGTTGATGGGGTGGATGTTTGGTCTGGAGATGGTGAATCCGAGTCTAATAGAATTAACTCCGCCGGACCCGTGTTGTTGTCTGTCTCGTGAGTGGTGGTATCATCAATTTCTATCACGATGGGATCAGCTGCTGACCCAGAGGCTTCTTGTGATTTGTCTACGGCATCTATAAAATATCTTTGACCGTAAAATTTCGGTGGACCAACATTTCTACTATGACGTCGAATGGTGGGGAGACTTTTACCAGGTATGTTGGTATGGTTGAGAGGTGGAGTGCAATCGTCCGCTGAATCAATTATCTCGTAAACGGGAATTCTTTAATTGAGCTCAAATCCGTTGGATTATGTTCATCCTGTAACTTCCGTGGCTTGATGGTAGATTTTTCCTCTCCCTGGGTTGTGGTCTCTTGTTCCAGTGCGCTAGAAGTTCGGTTAGCGGGAATAATGCTTATTGGGCACTCGCGAGTCTGGTCCTCGAATTGTTCTCTATTTAGGCCCGTATCGTCTTCAAAAACCTCAGATTTTAATTCAGTATTGGTTACGCCGGAATTAGGGTTGATTCCAGTTGAGAAGTGTGAGTCTGAAATAAAGCGCTCTCTGGCTACATCTCTACAAGGGAAACCGCCTGCTATCCATTCCCATTCACTAGTATCCGAAATATCCGAAGGAATTAGCATGGATTCATCCGAAGCAAGGTAACCTGGAGGGGTTGACGACTTCTTTGAGCGGCGAGTTTGTCTTCTGGTTGGTTTATAGGATGATCCTGATACACGTGTACTTGTCAGGTTATCAGGTGGGACCAGTTCCACTTGTTTGCGAGTCCTAGGCATCGGCTTTTTCGTTTTTGATCTTCGTCTCGAACCCTCCTGTTTCTGACCTACTTCAACATTAGGAATAGGAAAGTATAGTAATGAAATATTACCTTTAAAAGGTCTGATTTTATTCGAGGTAGATTTAGGAATGGCGATGTCAGATTTTTGTATGATTTTTCCGTCGGATAATTCTACTGTTGAGGTAGACGAATTTATTATTCTTTTGTTTAATTCCTTATAGAAACAGTCTCGATTGATGTTACCGTTAATTTTTCGAAGAATTTTACCTTTGAAGGGGCTTTCGATTGGTAATCTATTAGGCTTGATTTTCGAGGATGAGGCGTAGTCGGTGTCGTAGCCCTTTTCAATCGGCGTTTGGTTCTTTTCGCTACCAAATCGTCCTTGTAGCCATCCTCTAGTCTATCATCCGCGTTCCAGTCCTTTGCTCGTTCGTTAGACAATATAGATTTCCCTTTGTCTAAAATTCCAAAGGAAGGTTTACCAGAAGCTAATTGTTTCCAAATTGTATTTGGTTTTCTGTTATAGTGGATTTTGAATGGAGAACATTTAATTTTTGATTGATAAGATGAACGTAAATTCCAAGTAATCTTTGAAACGGCGTTTTGTAATGTACATTTTTGATGCTCTTTTGAAATAGCAAGTAATTTTAATCTTTACAGTGTGTACCAATTTTTCGACTAATCCGTTGGAACGATGGTCACCTACTGTACAAAATA